ATGAAATGACAATGATATAGACAGATCTAAAAAAGAAAATAATATTGGAAGAATCTTTGTTCCAAATGCAAAATAGCAATAGATTAAATAATAAATACAAGATAATTTTAACACGAAATCAAATGACAATGACGAAGTAAGACCTAGCAACAAAAATAATATAGAACAGATATATTTCTAAATACAACATACCAATAGATTAAACAATTAATATTGGGTTGATGCAAAAATCTCCGCCGATTTTTTTAAAAATTTCTTAAAGCCCTCTAACGCTACTATGCTTTCGTGATTTTCATACATATGATACCGCTTGTGTAGTACTATAAAATGACATTGGTTAATGTCCCAGTTTATTTACATTCTTCATTAAAATATGTCAGAGATTCCTATTCATTTTCGACACTGCATTTGGTATGCGTTCCAATTAGGGAACAATGCAAGTGCCGCTGCTCGCAATATATGTGCTGCACTTGGTAAAGGTGCTGTTGCTGATCGAACGTGTCGAGATTGGTTTAAAAGATTTCGTGAAGGTGACATGTCATTAGAAGATCGTCCGAGATCTGGACGTCCTCTCGAGTCTGATATTGAACGATTAAAAGTCCTGATCGAAGACAATCCACAATTAACCACCCATGAATTGTCAGCAATGCTCGGGTGCGACCAATCCACTATTGATCGCCATTTGCATAAAATGGGAACAGTTAATAAGCTTGGAACATGGGTTTCACATCAATTAACCTCGGACAACGTACAGCAAAGAATCATCATATGCAATTCTTTGTTGTCAAAACGCAACCGACATAGATTTCTTCAGCAGATAGTTACTGGTGATGAAAAGTGGATTCTATACGTCAATCATACGCGCAAGCGCCAGTGGGCAAATCCTGAAGATTTGCTCGAACCAGAACCAAAAAACGACCTGCACCCGAAAAAGGTGATGCTCTCAATTTGGTGGGATTTTCAAGGTATTATTTACTGGAAACTCCTTCCGCCTAACACTACCGACGACTCGAAGCTGTACTGCAAACAACTCCAAAATCTGAAGGTTGCATTGCAAGCAAATCGTCCTGAAAAACGAAAAGTTCGACTACTTCATGACAATGCAAAACCTCATATGGCTAAGGTCACTCGCCAAAAGCTGGAAGAATTAGGCTGGAAGGTCCTGCCTCATCCACCATATTCACCAGACTTGGCACCATCTGACTATCATTTGTTTCGATCGCTCCGCAATCATCTGGTCAAAAAACACTTCGATGATCAAGCCCACCTAAAATCGGACCTCAAAACTTATTTTTTGTCTTTGTCTGTGAAGTTCTTTGAAGACGGTATTCTGGATTTGCCTAAAATATGGGAGTATGTAATAGATAACAACGGTGTATATGTTGTTGATCGATGACATTTTGTTTCAATAAAATCTCGAAACCGAGAAGAAGAAAAAAATCGGCGGAGACTTTTGCATCAACCCGATACAATGTAATTTTAATTCAAAATGAAATGACACCGGTACAGATACGCCTAAAAGTGAAAATAAT